GGCAGGAAAGTCCATGAGACTCTTATCTCCAACTAACCACCAGAAAACCATAAGAGGCACTGTGGCTCAAGTGGTAGAGCCTTTGCCTTGTGCTAAAGAGCTCAGGGACAGCGCTCAGGCCCGGAGTTCAAACACCAGGACTGGCAAAAAAAAAAAAAAAAGAATCTTGATTTTAGATGATGGCTTTAGAGATGAGCTTTGGTTCCCTGAACAAGTGTTTCAGGCCTGGAGAACTGAAGGAGTCCTGGAGGGCTTCCGGGTGGAATCTCGCCGCACGGCCCTGAGCACAGGTACAGGACACCCGGCTTCTCCATTCTGGAATGTTTGGGAATAAGTTCTTAGGGTTTGTTTGTTTGTTTACTTAAATGTGCTGGTCCTGGGGTTTGCACTCAGGGCCTGGGCACTGTCCCTGAGCTTTTTGCTCAAGGCCAGTGCTCTACCACTTGAACCATAGCTCCATTTCCAGCTTTTTGTTGTTGAATTGGAGATGAGTCTCACAGACTTTCCTGCCCGAGAATCTTCCTAAGTAGCTAGGATGGCATGAGCTGCCAGCACCTGCCTGAGCTCTTAGGTTTTGGCATCTTGCGCATGTTATCTTCTGCAAGGACCACAGGGTATAGAGAATGGCGTGTGTCCCTGTCTTTCAGGTACGTGTTAGGTGGTGGAGCGCTGTGTATGGAACTTCTCACGAAGCAGGTAACTCTTTCCCGCGCTCCCCGATTCTCAGCCGCAGTGAACTACTTCATTGTACAAATAAGGGTCTAAGAAAAGTTCTCTTGTGGGGCTGGGAAGGTTGGTCAGTGGTAGAGCGCTTGCCTTGCATGCATGAGGCCCTGGGTTCAATTCCTAGACATCACATAAGCAGAAAAAGCCAGAAGTGGCGCTGTGGCTCAAGTGGTAGAGCGCTAGCCTTGAGCTGAAGAGCTGAGGGACAGCGCCCAGCCCGAGTTCAGTCCCCATGACGGACCAAAACAAAAAAGTTCTCTTGCAATAGCATCTGCCTTAACTGTATTTATTTTGTTTTAATGCCTCCCACTTTTAGTCACACAAAAGCTATTTAAAGTAACCTAGTGCAGTTATTTAAGGTAACCTAGTGCAGTTATTTACAGTAACCGAGTGCTGGACCAAATGTGCCCCAGATGAAACTGAGGGAGGACCGCTGTGTGTACGTTTAGCTCTCCCCTGGCAGGCGCCTAGAGCATGGCATGCTGTGGGGGCTGTGGCGAGGTTCTGGAAGCAGCCAGAGTCTTCCTGTGTCTGCACTGTTGATGACCCCGTGCCCGGGGTGGGATTTCTGCGTGGAGACAGCGCAGAGCCGCGTCTCAGAGCTGTGTTTCCTTCTGCAGGGCTGGAGCAGCGCCTACTCGGTTGAGTCCGTCATCATGCAGATCAACGCCACCTTAGTCAAGGGCAAAGCTAGAGTGCAGTTTGGAGCAAATAAGGTACTTTTTGTCGTAAGAATCTTATCATGTAAAGTCTTATAATACGTTTCCCCCTATGCTGTGCTTGGCAGGTTTCTTGTCTTGACCTGACTCTGTGAAGCAGTGTGTTTCATTTTTGTTTGGTTTGTTTTCTTGTTAGTAAAATGACCCATCAGAGAATGCCAGAGTATAAGAAAACTAGCCAGATGCTGGTGGCTCACACCTGTCATCCTAGCTAGGAGGCTGAGATCTGAGGATCGTGGTTGAAAGCCAGCCCGGGCAGGAAAGTCCATAAGACTCTTATCTCCAATAAACCACCAGAAAACAGGAAGTGGCGCTGTGGCTCAAGTGGTAGAGCGGTAGCCTTGAACAAAAGAGCTCAGGGACAGTGCCCAGTCCCTGAGTTCAAGCCCTACAACCAAGAAATAAAAAGAAAAAAAAAAAAAACAGAGAGAGTAGCACCATCACGTAGTTGCTATCTTCCTTCTAGTCTGGCATATTCCAGTAGAAGTCATGAAACTGGGGCACAATGACTCAGTCATTTGAGGTTTCTGGGAACAGAGGTTGCAGGGTAATAGTTAATCTGCAGAGAACTCCATGTACTTCTCCCTCTCCAAGTTTGCATTCACTCTTGATCCTCTGTATTGTCCCCATGTCCCTCCTGTGGGCGGATGAGCGCTGGCAGCCTGCTGGTTTGGGCGGCTCTCTCAGGCTCTGCTTCATCGCCGGCTCTGTGCCCGTTCCCTTGCTGGACCACAGGCCTCCGTGTCACCGCGAGCTAGTGACGCACACTGGGAAAGCCCTGAAGCCAGGGCCTGCTGAGAAGTACTCACGTGATTTCAATCATCCTTATCTGCCTTTTTTTTTTTTTTAAAGTTGAATCTTTTTTTTCCTGAAGTTGTACGTGAGTTTTGCATTTAATGTCTGCTCAAATAGTATGACATTGGGGCTGGGAAGGTGGCTCGGTGGTAGAGTGCTTGCCTTGCATGCATGCAGCCCTGGGTTCGATTCCTCAGTACCACATACACAGAAAAAGCTGGAAGTGGCGCTGTGGCTCAAGTGGTAGAGCTAGCCTTGAGCGAAAAGAAGCTCAGGGACAGCACCCAGGCTCTGAGTTGAAGCCCTAGGACTGGCAAAAAAAAAAAAAACCCAAACAAAACGAAAAACAAAAATCAAACAGTATGACATTGAATTCAATATTTACTAGAAGAGGAGCTATGACTCACGTGCTAAACACCAGCCTTGAGAGAAACAAACCTAAGGGACAGTGCCCAGTGGTGAGTTCAAGCCCCAGAACTGGCACACAGCAGTTGTGTGGTGTTTTCCTACGCTCACAACCCTTAGGGCAAAGGTACAATGGGTGTTTGGAATTCAGACCACGGAGCACCTGGCCCAGAGCAGTAGCGCCTTCACCCTGCACCGGACCTTTGCTCTCAGAGCCTCGTCTACTGATTGCTGACAAGAAGAGAAAAAGTAAAATGAGTCATGTCTCCCGCTCAGTGTTAAAGAGGACAGAGTGAGGGAGAACAGGATGGAGAAGTCGGGAATGAGCAAAGCCGAGCACTTTGCGCCGTGTAGTAAGGTCAGCATTAAAATGGAGTCTGTGTGCCTTGTGAGTTGGCTGTCTGGCGTTTGGTTTTGGCGGTGGTGAGAGTTGAACTCAGGCACGGGGTTGGACTTGCTCTGCCGCCTGAGCCACCCACCAGCCCATTGTGGAGCTACAGGCTTGGCTTCTCCCATTGGCACTTCCCACAGCGCTGGACGACAGCCAGCGGTTGGTTGAGATGTGATCTTGGGAATTTTTGGCCCTAAACATCCTCTTGATCTCTGCTTCCTAGATAGCTGGGACTATAGGAGCGTGCCACCATGCTCAGCTCTGTTGACTGTTGAACATGGTGGGAGCTGACAATATCATCCCCTCCCCATGTCCAGGGGCAGTGGAGGAAGTGGTGCGCTGTGGTCTTTGGGGCTACATTTGTTTGGTTTAGTTCAGCCTCTTTTTTGTAGCTCTCTCATTTTTAGCTCTTTCTGTGCAGACTATTTTTAAATTATCCTTGAGGTGATACTACTGCATTTTTTTGTTTTGTTTTAGTTGTGAGGCTGTGGAGCTTGAACTCTGGGCCTGGGCGCTGTCTCTCAGCTCTTTAGCTCAAGGCTAGCGCTCTACCACTTGAGCCACTGCACCACTTCTGGTTTTCTGATGGTCTATTGGAGATAGAGACTTTCACAGACTTTCCTGCCCAGGCTGGCTTTGAACTGCGACCCTCAGATCTCAGTCTCTTGAGTAGCTAGGATGACAGGCCAGAGCCACTGGCGCCCTGCCTACTGCATTTTTTTTTTTTTTTTTTTTGCTGGTCATGGGGCCTGAACTCTGGGCCTGGGCGCTGTCCCTCAGCTCTTCAGCTCAAGGCTAGCGCTCTACCA